TATTGAATCATTTTTTTTTCATTCAATATGTATAATTGCAAGTCGAGAAAATTTTTTTCTCAGCTGAAGTAGGTGGCGCTGCTTCCCCAAAGTATCTAAAAATCTTGATCGAATATAAAAAGTTATTGTATCAAGTATTTATGATAATTTGAATTAAGAAAAAATTACTTCCACCAAGAATAAAATTTCAAGAAAAATTTTTACTTCGGCCAAGACAACTTCGGTCTTGCTTCGGGCACCCGAAAATTTACTTGAGCCAAGAATTTTGTTCTCCAGTCAAGAAATTTTTCTTTCTGTGTAGTTATAGCAAATTTAACTATTAAAATTTCTTTAAAAATAATAATATGCTCGTCACAAAATTTTCTTTACTCTTAATTATTTAAATCATAAATGACTATCGAATTTACAATAAAAATATACCAGTTAAAAAACTTTTCTTGGCCTCTTGATTATATAAATTAATTTTTGACGAATAACCACATTCACATTTACAAAACAAAATAAATAAGACCTTTTCAATGACACTAAATTAAATTCTAAAAACTGATTTTATCATATAAATACGCTGAAGATATTTTTCTCATTAATTATTTTGAATAAAAATTAAAACTTACGTTCGAATCTGTTCTAATTTATCAGCACCAGTTATTTCAGTGATCGGAGGATCACATTTGCTTTTGACTTTATCTTCAAGCCAAGCAAAATATTTAACAAGAGCAGCTGAATCTCTAATATGAGCTTGCTTCATATTCTCAATCTCAACTTGATTTTTAACAACTTGCATCAATCTCACCGGAGTAACAGCAACGTGCCTCTGTACCTCCCCACATTCAGTGTGTAAAGCATAGTTAACATTGCTATTAATCCAAATCCTTTCATTTTCGGCTCCATTGCCCGTAATGAATAAATTACTCAGCGCAAGTTGTTTCAAAAACGACCTGGCGTCTTCGTAAGGATGGTAAATAGCTTCTACACCTTCCTCATTTAATTGTTTCTCAGCTTCCGCGGTAAGTCTTGATTTATCAACAAAAATATGAATATCAGTCAGTGTTATAAAAACATAAGCGAAGAAAACTGGATTGTAAGGTATGTCAGAGCCACGCAAGTTCAACAAATAAGCGACTTCGTCTAATGTTGTAATTACAAGAACACTAGCACGATTTTTCTTCATGGCCTCTCGACACTGGGCTATTTTTTCTCCAGCTGTTTTTCCTGTGAAAGTTATCAATTGCGGGACAATTGGATTAGAGATTACTGGAGGCTGCTCGTCTCCCCAAAGCTTATCAATCAAGTTCTCTTCAAGCGGAAGTAGATGGTGCCCAGCAGCACTCAAAGAATTGTACAGTGGTATCCAAACAGCATAGCTCATCAGATTTGGATCAGCACCAACTGTTGAGTTAGGCGGAAGAGTTGATATTAGCCATTCATCTTGCGTCGGTGTGCCAATAGTTCCTTCTTTCATCAATGTCCAAGCATCAGGTGGGTCAAATTCTGCCTGTGCCTGAGCGTAGTATCGCCCGTCTGTCCACAACATTGCTTCATTTTCAGTTATTATTGCTGTTCCCAAGGATCCTTGGAACCCGGAAATAAATTGACGGCGCTTGTCATGATCAGTTATGTATTCTGAAAGGTGAGCGTCTTCAGAGCCAACTATTAGCGCCTGGATTCCTTTCTTTGCTGCTCCTTCCAGTTCCACTGCAGCCATTAGCTCTCGTAGCCGCGCTAATTTCATAGCTCCGGTTCTTGCCATATTCATCCTCGTACCTTTAAATTTTAGATTTATTATTATTAATTATTAACATGCGTCTGAAAGAGAAAGTGATAGAATAAGTTGGAGTGGATAAAAAGATAAGAATAATTTTTTTTTTATTTGGTGCACAGCAATAATATAATTAAATATTAAATAATTTTAAAAAACTACAGTACAAAGTAGAAATAGTGAACCAAAGCATTGTTAGAATAAGAGAAAGAGTATGAGTGCAAAATAGAGATATTTTTTTTATACTATTATTTTATTACTATTATATTATTACTATTTTTTATACTGTTATTAGGTACAAATATTATGCTGAAATTTGTACATTTGACAATTTTTTTTTTCTTGGAAAATAAACTAGGTATAGAAAATTATTTTTTTTAAAATTGTATTTATTATTTTTCCGAGTTTTAAAGATTACTTATAAAAATTTTATTTTTTAAATTATACTAAAATTAAGATAATAATAAAATTATCCAATATTTTTGATTTTGCTTAATTTATTAAATTAGAACTAAAAAATATTTTTTTTTAATTTTTTGTAATAATTTTTTCAATAAAAAAAATTCTCAAAAATTTTTAGATGTCGGCTAATTTTATTGTCATGAAATTAAGAGACATCTGATAATTTTTATAAATTTTTTTTTCTAATAAATTATGGCTAGAAAAATTTGTTTAATTTAAGAAATTCTAAGTTTAATTTTTTCAAAATAATTTTCTAGATCTAATTTATCATTTAAAAAAATTGTCGTTTCTGCTAATTTCAATGTCATATTTTAAAAAAAAAAATTTTTTTTATCATAATTTAGTTATTGAAAATTTTTTGAATCTTTCAAAAAATATTTTTTCTTTTTTAGTGAAAATTAAGTTTAAATTTTAGATTTATTATTATTAATTATTAACATGCGTCTGAAAGAGAAAGTGATAGAATAAGTTGGAGTGGATAAAAAGATAAGAATAATTTTTTTTTTATTTGGTGCACAGCAATAATATAATTAAATATTAAATAATTTTAAAAAACTACAGTACAAAGTAGAAATAGTGAACCAAAGCATTGTTAGAATAAGAGAAAGAGTATGAGTGCAAAATAGAGATATTTTTTTTATACTATTATTTTATTACTATTATATTATTACTATTTTTTATACTGTTATTAGGTACAAATATTATGCTGAAATTTGTACATTTGACAATTTTTTTTTTCTTGGAAAATAAACTAGGTATAGAAAATTATTTTTTTTAAAATTGTATTTATTATTTTTCCGAGTTTTAAAGATTACTTATAAAAATTTTATTTTTTAAATTATACTAAAATTAAGATAATAATAAAATTATCCAATATTTTTGATTTTGCTTAATTTATTAAATTAGAACTAAAAAATATTTTTTTTAATTTTTTGTAATAATTTTTTCAATAAAAAAAATTCTCAAAAATTTTTAGATGTCGGCTAATTTTATTGTCATGAAATTAAGAGACATCTGATAATTTTTATAAATTTTTTTTTCTAATAAATTATGGCTAGAAAAATTTGTTTAATTTAAGAAATTCTAAGTTTAATTTTTTCAAAATAATTTTCTAGATCTAATTTATCATTTAAAAAAATTGTCGTTTCTGCTAATTTCAATGTCATATTTTAAAAAAAAAAATTTTTTTTATCATAATTTAGTTATTGAAAATTTTTTGAATCTTTCAAAAAATATTTTTTCTTTTTTAGTGAAAATTAAGTTTAAATTTTAGATTTATTATTATTAATTATTAACATGCGTCTGAAAGAGAAAGTGATAGAATAAGTTGGAGTGGATAAAAAGATAAGAATAATTTTTTTTTTATTTGGTGCACAGCAATAATATAATTAAATATTAAATAATTTTAAAAAACTACAGTACAAAGTAGAAATAGTGAACCAAAGCATTGTTAGAATAAGAGAAAGAGTATGAGTGCAAAATAGAGATATTTTTTTTATACTATTATTTTATTACTATTATATTATTACTATTTTTTATACTGTTATTAGGTACAAATATTATGCTGAAATTTGTACATTTGACAATTTTTTTTTTCTTGGAAAATAAACTAGGTATAGAAAATTATTTTTTTTAAAATTGTATTTATTATTTTTCCGAGTTTTAAAGATTACTTATAAAAATTTTATTTTTTAAATTATACTAAAATTAAGATAATAATAAAATTATCCAATATTTTTGATTTTGCTTAATTTATTAAATTAGAACTAAAAAATATTTTTTTTAATTTTTTGTAATAATTTTTTCAATAAAAAAAATTCTCAAAAATTTTTCTCATCAAGACCTTTCATTTAAGTACCCACATCAATTTTTCATAAATTTATATATATTACATAAATGTATATATGAAAAATATATCAAAAATGCATGTGGGTACTTAAATGTAAGCTCTTGATGAGTGTAACATCGGAATGAGCTTATATCTTTAAAAACGTCAATATTTAAGAAATGACGTTGTATTTTGTCTACTGATGATAATTTTAACGATATAAGCTCATCCTGGAGTTACGCTCATCAAGACCTTTCATTTAAGTACCCACATCAATTTTTCATATATTTATATATATTCCATATATGTATATATGAAAAATATATCAAAAATGCATGTGGGTACTCAAATGAAAGCTTTTGATGAATCTAACATCGGGATGAGCTTATATCTTTAAAAACGTCAATAGTTAAAAAAGTACAGTGCAATTTAACAAAAGTCATTATTTAATAAAGCCAAATTTCATTTATTTATAGTTCACAAGTCACGGCAGTCACATAGTGACTGTTAAGTTGCTAGTATTTATTAATTTATTAGAGTTGATTTTTTTTTTAATTAAAATAAAATTGTAAGTGTCAATAATTGGCTATTTTAATTTTTTTTCATAATTGTTGTAAAATTGTAAAAAATTTTTAAATGTCTGCTGACTTCAATTTCACCGGTTAGTCATCAATGAAGTAATCCAACCTCTGCAATTTGTCGTTTTACACTTCATCGCTCGGTCCTTTTTTTTCGTTATATATATTTTAACTTATTACACATTTCATTAACTCCTTCCAAATGAGAAAAAAAATAATTATTTTCCTCTTTATTATATATATATACAAATTCTACAACGGTGATACATTTATTAACAATGTAATACCGGAAAAAATGATAAACATTAATTACGTTAATGATTTGATGATAGTTATAAATATTAAAAATATATATTACAAACAATAAATACAAAAAAATTAACAAAATTTTATTCACTGAGAAAATCAATAATATCTTGAGTAGTCAAATTAACAGGTTTTTTTTGTTGCACATTATTAAATGTCTCTGAGGTCATTGGCATCATCATAGAATTCATTGAACCTATTCCAATAGAATCAGAATTATTTTTACTTATCTGAGGCTTAGAGTTATTCCAATTAGACATTTGATTAACAGGCATTGTAGATTGTGTGCCCCAATTAATTGAACTATTCACTCCATTTAAATTCCAATTCATTTGTGTATTTGAAGGTTTTGAGGACAATGACATTGGCATCGATGAAGTTGTATTCTTCCATTGGTTTTGATTAACATTAGTATCCCAAGACGGTGATGTAAAGTTAGTATAATTAGGTTGGGCAGGTTTGCTTGCTGACAGATTCAATTGACTGAGATTGTTTTCTAGAAGCGTGCTGGTTAAATCTTTAGGTTCTATTTTTTTGGGTTGTGTGGGTGGTTGCGGAGTCAGTGGGCTTTGTATATGTAGTCGATGATTTGCTTCTTGTTGCTGTGCGAATCTAAAATTATAATTAATAAATAAATTCACGGAAAAAACTATTAATGTAAAATTTACGGAACTCAATACATAGTTTTTACGTAGTGAATTCTGTAATTTTAAATCTGTAAATTAAATATATTGAGTCTCTAAATATGATAAAAATTTTTCTGTAGTAATGACAGAATTTTTTCTTCAATTTTAATTTTTCTGATTTTTTAGTGTAATTTTAGACAAATTGTTTTTTTATAATCAGTAGAAAAAATTAATCATTCACATATAATAAAAATTTTAAATTTACTATTAACGGATCAGTATTTACATTCTTTATTGATAATTAAATCAATTTTAATTCACGAGTTTATTCTGCAACGATAAAATAATACTCTTGTAAATTTTACAGAAATTATATGTAAGGTAAAAGCCCCCATTATCGACACTATAAGAGTGATCATGAATATTTGAATTTTTTTATCGTGTTTCAAATCAATATTGTCAACTTTTTTTTCATAGGACACCTTATTCATAGTTGTTACTCACACAATTTAATTAATTAACTTTAATAGCAATAACTTTAATAATTATTATATCAACTTAAAACCAACAGGTCGAATGTATGTATTATTGACAGCGCAAAAAATTCAAACAGCCGATTATTGACATACCTTTGACCCTATTATTGACAAGTCTTTTATCATAGTTAAATTTGTATTAACAATAATCATTTTACTAACCAATTGCAAAACTATCAATAATTTTTATTATTTTAAAATCCGTTCAAGACCTAGCTTTTCTATATTTTTTACCAGGTTTTTTTTAGAAATTTTTTCTAGTCCCAAATACTTCGATTCTTATAAAATCACATGACAGTATGTAAACATTAATACGTTGATATGTATGTTAAGGGGGTTGCGTTACCTTACATTATGGCATACGTCGTTAGTTGACGCAAGTTAATTTTTGTGTCCCCATCATTGACATCCGCTACTTGAAAATTAATTTTAACTCGATAAAGTATAAATAAATGATTATATGGTTATTTAGACTATAAATAATCTAAAATAATTTTAAACAATGCAATTACATAAAAAAAAAAAAAAAAACATTGAGAAATCTGGATTTGAAAATAAGAAATAAGGTCTTTCTTAACGATATTGTTTAGAAATTATAAACGTATAAGCAGTTTTGGCTTACTTGAAAAAATGAAATTTTTTTGCGGTAAATAGTTTATACCTTGGAATTAAATTTTACTGTTTTTTAATTTTAATAATATGTAAAATCGCCATGAAATATCAACAATTGTGATTATTAACAGATTTTAATAATGAAATGATAAAATTAAATAGGGTGTCAATAATGGAGCCCTGTCAATAATAAGGGCTTTTACCTTCATTTTTACATAATCTTATCTGTAATAATTAAAAATTTTTTCTGTAAATTTTACAGAACATACACTGTAAATTTTGCAGATTATTTTCTGAAAATTTTATATTCATTTTTTCCGTGTTGAATTTAAATATTTTCATTTATAGAAATAGAAATAAAACCAACGTACCTGTGTTTTTCTTCTAACGTCAATCCTTTGCTGTCTTTCAAAGGAGTTGTTGCAGGTAACTGCGGAGATAATATTTTATTTGATGGGAAAACATCATTTAATACATCAACAGTCGATGGACTTGTCGTTTGTTTCAAGGCTTCATCAAGTTGTTGTGCTTCACGGCGAACTCCATCTAATTGACGCAATGCTTCACGGTGTTCTGTTGTTACACGATTCACCATGTCGTTCACTAAAGATGCCAATATTTCAAATTGCGATGGACTCAAGCTTTGCTCTATGCAGAGTGGTAATAAATATGGTAGTACTTTTGTAGCTAGGATTTCTTTATTAATTCCCAATTTACTGTGAGTCAAAACCAATTTATATATCCCTGAAAAAATAATAAATTAAATTAAAGTCAAGTCAGTTTTTTATTACAATGATTTACTGATTATGGATAAGAAAACTTTGACTTAATAATTTTTTAATATTTATATTTACACAATGCACAGTTTGGAAACTTTTTTAATAAATTTTAAAAATAAAATTGCTATCACAGAATCAATTACTAATAATTTAATGGACAAATGTGACAGAAAAAATTTATAAAAATTCAATCTCAAGAATTTTTACATGTGAACGAGATACTTTTACTTGTAAATTTTAAATCACACAATTAAGACATTCATCAAACAAAATTTTTGATAAGTATATTAAAAATTATATTTTGTTGTTGAAAAACTTTGGCTTAATGATTTTTTTGTATTTATAATATCACTATACAGAGCTTGGACACTTCTTAAAAAATTAAAAAACTAATAATGATATCACAGGATCAATCACAAATAATTTAATGAACAAATGTGATGGAAAATATTTATAAAACCAACAAACTATTCAAAATTCCTCCAAAAATTTAACATAAAAAATTAACTACTAAAAAATATATATAATTAAAAGGCACTAATTTTTATCAAGACTTTTCTGATGATACCAAATTTAGCTTTTCATTACTTTCTCAATTATTTAAATCATAAACGACTGTCACTTAAAAAATATCAAACCTAATTTACGATAAAAATACACCCATTACAGAATTTTTCTTAATCTTTTAACTATATAAATTAATTTTTGACTTAAAACCACATTGAAATGTACAAAAAAAAAATAAATAAATAAATAAATAAACAAATCTTGTTTATCGAGAAATTCGAAACTATTTGTAATTACTTCATAAATTTATCATGATAAATTAACTATTGTTAAAAAGCATATGAAACATAGGCACAAATTCAAGTCAAGACCTTTCCAATCATACTAAATTTAATTAAAAAAATTCATTTTTTATATAAATTGGCCGGGGACATAATTTTCCTTATTATTTCAATTATATAGACAATAATGAGACTGAAATTGAGAGACATCTGATCATTATTAAAAATTTTTAACAAATATATTATACTTAGTAAGAAAAATTTATTTAAAAAATTTCATCGTTAAAAGCTTTAAAAAATTTCTGATGTGGTTTTTAAAAAATTGTTGAACAGCATATCAATGGTCTAATTAGCAATAGGTCTCTCCTTATTTTTTAGAGGGTGATTTTTTCATATTTTAATGTAGAAATAGTCCAATTATAAATTATTTGAATGATCCTAATCAAAATATTATACCTCTATTAAATATTAAATGGTTTTTAAAGTGATAATAAATTTTGAACTAATTGTATTTTCGTACGAATGGAAGATTCTGTAAAATGGAGATAGACAATTTGCTGATTAGAAAATCGATATGAAACATTGAAAAAGCACAAATTCAGATCAAAACCTATGATACTAAATTTAATTTAAAAAACTCATTTTATCATACAAATACGCCGAAGCCAAAATTTTCCTTACTCTTTTAATTATATACATACCTATTATTGCCATCAGTACAGCTGGCTCACCAGAATGAGGTATTTCTTGAAGAAATGGTAGAATTTGATCAAGCACAATCCATCGATCCAAGTGTTCTAACATTTTTGCTAAACATAACAAACAATTAACTCGTAAACTTAGACTTGTACTATGACCAGTTCCTTTTACACAGATTTTTTTAATCCTTGGAAGAATAACATTTTTCATAGTGGGACCGTCAATCAACATAGCTATCGATGGTAGCGCAGCGAGACAAAGTTCTTGAAGTTGTTCCATAGGTGAATCTAATGCACGAGTGAGCATCGGCACAATATCGGATTTTATAACATTTGCTGAGCAAAGTTTGAGAAGAATGTCAATTCGTTGAATAATAACGAGACTTATCTGCGGTGGATCTTCCATGGCTAGAACAGGTTTTATATTCGGAAGAATATACTCCGTAAATTCATCAACAGTACATTCTTCTAAGACTTGTAAAATACTTGGTAGGACAAAAGGAATCATCGGAGCATTTACAAATTCTTTGTAGAGACACGGGAGAACTCGGTGCAAAACAACTCGATGCGGCATTTGTTTCATCACTTGTGGAAGTCTTTTGTAAAATTGAGATTTCTGAAGATTATCCCATTGAAATAATTTTTCTAGATAATTTAAAGTTTTAACTCCAATGTCGTTAAAGTATTCTATTTTAATAAACTGGTGAGCGTCAGGTCGAAGCTCTGGATTGCTGCTCAGCATTAATTTTACAGTGCCTCGGAGATTTTCTGGGATTAAATTAAGCTTTGAAGCTGCTACTGATGTTTTATAATCGGCGAAAAATCTTCGACACTTTGATGCATCTCCATGGCAATCATTGAATGATCAAAATAGTTACAAAATGTCCCAAAATAGTTACATTTTTGTGACTACTTTGGAACATATTTGTGACTATTTTGGAATATTTTTGTGACTATTTTAGAAAATTATTGTGATTATTTTAGGACACATTCATAACTTTTTTAGAACATTTCACTATTTTAAATCATTTATATAATTATTTTGGGACATTTTTGTGACTCTTTCGGGACATTTTTGTGACTATTTTGGGACATCTTTGTAACTATTTTAGGACATTTTTGTGACTCTTTTGGGCCATTTTTGTGACTATTTTGGGACATTATTGGGATATTGGTTCCGGTGGTTTTAGAGGGATGCTGATTTTTTGGTATGTTTATGGGGTTAATACGAGACTGTGTACAAAAATCCAGGGCGTCAATCGAAACCACTCTCGAGATATAAATTTTTATTGTCTTTTTTTATCTAAGGGGTGAGGTTAGGGGTGGTTTTAGAGGGGTGGAAATTTTTCTATAGTTTCACAGCTATTTACTGTTGATGCACCTAAAAATCCAAGTTGATGCTATTATTATGTGATTTTATTTTTAAAAAATTAAATTTTTTTTTACGAACGTTCGGAACTTCAGGTACATGAAAACTCTGCAGCATCTCCATCACTTTCTATATGTTTTGGAGCACCAGGTACTTTTTTTATGAATTTTGAACAAACACAACATTTTGGATTATTATTTTTAGACGTAGACATATTTGTATTTATATAAAATCAGAGTAATACGTCCTTTTTATATTTTGGAACAAGCGATAATAGAAAAACAAACCGAGCTTTTTCTTAATGTAAACAGTGAATTTGAAGGTTGGTTTGTAAATGTCATTTTTAATTAAAAGTAGAAGATAAGGTTACCGACTTGTAATAACAGTGCCATCTTATAGTTATTGAATGAACTAATTATTATGCGGGAACAATAATATTAATCAAAACGTAGTTATCGAATACATAATCGAGAATAATATTCGAGTGAGCACCATTCCTGCTGTTCATTGAATAAAAACATTAAAATAATTTGATTTTTGAATAAAAAAATGGTTTTATATTTTTTTCAACATGGCGTACCATTTATTAATATTCATAAAAGTCATAATTCCACAGGAAATTGGATGAGGAATTCAAAAAAAATAGTTTCATAATTGTGCCAGAACTCTATCATAGTTAAAAATTAAAATTAAAAGAAAAACGTCATTTTTTTCGAGGTTCTTATGAAACAATATAGCTCATAATTTTTTTCCTAGAAGCTACCATCATCCCCCAAAACATATTAAAAATTCAAATCAATCGGCTCACGGGTTTCTGAGAAAATCATTTTTTTCTTTATTTCAGCTTTTTTCGATTTTCTCGAAAACGGTATTAGATGAAGAGCTGAAACTTGCAGTATCGAAGTATCTTATAAGTACCAACATACCCTGAAATTATAAGCCAGATATCTTTCTGGGGCCGATTCACTATACTTATCGGCCTATGGCCTTTGAGTTAGTTCTAAAAAAATGCGCTAGGCGGCGAATTGTACCCGAAAATTCTCGCTTCTTAACAGTTGACTCGGATGTTTTAAGTTCGAACCAACCAGGCTATATTATATTTCACTTTTTGATCACTTTAGACATTTTTCACATAATCTCTCACTACATAATAATTAATTTACTTTTTCTGAGATTTAGTTTCAATTTCAATAATTTAGTAGATGAGAATTTTTTTTCTAAATTTTTTTATAAAAAAAAAATTGCCTTGCTTTCGTCTTTCGTCGTATCTTTAATCTGATAAGACAGTTTTTTTAAAATTAGTACCAAAAAGTACCAACAGGTGGCGCATTGTCGCCATCGATTCTCGCTGCAAGATACTTCACTCATATTTAATAAGTTCTAACGGAAATATTATTTGTATTACTTTTTGCTGGATTTAAGATCAATTTTGTTTTTTATTACTTAACACTATACTTATTACACTTGAAATTTAAAAATAAATTGTGAATAGTATCGAAAATATCGAAAACTTTCATTTTGCTCTTGTTCAATTTTTCACTTTCCTTTTGGCGATTTGATATATAAAATTCATTTTTAATATAATTGTTAAACTCTATACAAAATAAAAATGATTATTTAAATAAAATTGACTACCAAAAAAAGTGTTTAGGTTAATATTGTCATTAAAAATATAATTTTGGATTTGATTTTTCTAATATAAAAAAAAAATCTTGGGATAATCTAGATTTGATAGAACAAAATCGTTAACTGCCCCCGGAAATTCGGACATAATATTCATAAATTATCTTCCACTGTTTTATTGTTTAGGATTCCTAATAAAAAAAAAAATATTAGTATCCCTAGATGTTATTTTTGGATGTTGAAATTTTCTTGATGAATTTATTGAATGGTATTTTATTTATGATAATTGAACTGTTCGAACCATTTTCATATGTTGTAACTTGTTTTGTATCAATTAAAGTAATTTGCTCATCCGATCGATTGAAATAAAGCACCGAAATGCTGATCATATTGATATGTACTCTTATCGGTGGTAAAATTTTCGTTTAGCTTTTTAAATTTTGATTGTAGACTTAAGAATAATTGAAAAAAAAAAGTTGATCATGTTACCAATATAAGTTATTGTATTGACTTGTAAATTATGATAATATTGGTTTAAATTAGCTTTATTATCAAGATTCGTATAGTGGACATAAAAAAACTTAATTTTGAAAAAATTTATCTTTGACAATCTTCATTATTTGATAAAATCGCTTTTCGCTTTTGAAAATTCTAACTATAAGTCGGGCAAAAAAATTAATAAGCAATTAGAAAGTTGGTGTGATTAAAAATTTTCATCTAATTTAAATAATAATTCTAAAAATTATTTTTTTCGTCCTTTTAGTTTCCCAGTTTGATTATTCTTATAATTTTTCCGCCATAATTCAACTGATTAATATTAATCAAACATGATGTACTTGACTTTTTTTCAAAATGAGTTCTAAAATTTAAACTATCTTTATGGTCGGATTAATTTTGTAACGTTCTAATTATAAATTTGAGTTAGTTCTAAAAACATCCGCTAGGCAGCGCATTGTAGCCAAAAATTTTCGCTGCAAGACATATGACTCGGATATTTTAAGTTCCAACTGACTCAGCTCTATTATATTTCACTTTTTGATCACTTTAGATAAATCTCTCGCCATATAATAATGAATTTAATTTATTTAAGATCTAGTCCCACTTTCAATAATTCAGCGAATGACTATTAATTTTTTTCATAAGGGATAATTTAATGTATGCCAACCACCAATTTATCATTAGGAACCACCATTAGGATCTTACCATTTTTACTTCTTTCAATTCTCACACTTCTTTTTTGAAATAAAATTTAGTTCATGGGAAAGGTGTTAATAAAATTTTGCATCTCTCTTGCTGAGCCTGTTCTCTAAAAAAATTTATGAAATGACTCAGTTAATTACCAATCATCAAATCTCACGTATGGCATCGAAATTTTGAATGAATAAACCGAAACTCTTTCAAGTAATATTAATTAAATTGGCCTAAGTCTTCCAATAAATAACCTAAGATATGTTCCTAGTGTTATTAAATTCTAAATAATTGATTGATATGAGATATTTTTTATTCGAACTAAGAAATTTATAGATAATTAATAATTACTGAAATATTGAAACTCAATTTTAGCTGACTTCATTAATTGTTATTTAGTCGATTTATTTATTTTTATTTATTTTATTTTATTTTACTTTTGATATACATTCTATAGAGGTGCATAACACCTGTGCATAGACACCAGAAAAATACAATAATATTTAATTATATATAAATCGTGTTAAAAAATTCATTATCCAATACAATGTACAAAGTATAAGTTTCCTTACGACTAAAAATACAATATTTTGCTATCTAATATAGTATCTTAATTTATAATTCAATAGATCTAATCCACCTCCCAAAATTCTTGCTTAATAAGTTCTTTTTGCATTTAAGAGTTTTTAGATTATTGGGAATTAGATTGAAATATTTTATTGCCACAAAAACGCATTTTTGGTACTTAGAGTTTTACTAATTTTTGGTAAAGTTATCTGTCTATTACGTGTATTTATAAACCTCTCAGAGTGCATTAATTTACAATCTGTAAAATAATAAGTAAGCGCACTCACAACAAAATACTGGTTAATTTTTAAAGGTACTAACATTTCATTTTCTATTTTCATTTTACATATCAATTTATTCTGCAAATTTATAATAATATATAATAATAATATTTCAAAATAATATATTTTTTCTGTAATTTAGAAATTTAGATCTAAACTTTCATTTTGTGAACATTCAAAACTTACTCTTGTTTAACAAAATTTAGTCTTTTGTCATGTCTTTAATCTATTAAGGTAATTTTTAACTTAGTACCAAGAATTACCAACAGGTGGCGCAAGGTCGCCAATAATTCTCGCTACAAGAGACTTGACTCAGCTTTTATAAGTTCCCATCATCGAAGAATTTATTGTTATCATTTTTGAACCACTAAAAAAATTTTTTAGATTATTTTGTCACTAAGAATACAATTTTACATTTAATTTTTCTGATTTAAAAAAAAATCTTAAAGAATAATTCTGACTAATTAAAGAAAGAAAATTGTATGAAAGTTAAGATTCGCACCTAATATTGATCGAAATTTCCGCATCGTTTTAAAATTAATGATTTTCGTTTTAAAATAATTGATTTTAACTCGAGACTACATTTTGGAAGGCCTTAAAAATAATATGAGAGACTGTAAATTAAGATTTGATTGAATCATTAGTTGTTAGTATAACCTTTATATAAAAATTTGTTACTGTATTCTAAAAAAATTAATTGAATCTCTGTCGCATTGAAAGTATGGACATGGAAGATTTGCTTCGGGTTATTTTTGATTATTTGTTATCGTCGAAAAGTCCGCTTCGTAGAGTGTTGATTAGATCAACTATTAT